ATCTCTTACGTTCTCTTATGTTCTTATGACCACCCCATCTCCTGCAGTGCAGGAACTCAACTTGAAAGGAACTCTTTAACATAGGAAAACATTTCCCCCCCCCCCAAACATAAAGTCCGAGAAAGAGTTCTGGAGGACTCAAAACTTGCACACCACTTTGTGTCCTGAGTCGACGGTGACTTGCAAGCCCTTCTCCCCTCTCCAGCTCCACAAGGCCTGGCAGGGGTGGGGTGGGGCGGGGCACCCGACCTGCTCGGAGGCACTCCCTGGGAATCTAAAAGGCAGCAGGCAGCTCTTTCGTAGCTTCACCTTCTGCCCTTGTAAGTGTGCGCTTGACAGGGTGGTGCACTGGGCAGACGGCAGTCAGGTGGCTCTCGTGGGTGATGGTGGTCGCAAACGTGGCTCTCTGTCAGCTGTGGACTGAGTACCACTGCCTTGGCCCCAATTCTGCCTGCTAGGAGGAGCAGTGGGCACTCCATGAAACTGCTGAGAAATCAGGTTAGAACGGATAAAAGGAGGTACTTCTTCACCCAAAGAGTGATTCACACTTGGAATTCACTGCCACAGGAGGTGGTGTGGCGGCTACAAGCACGGACAGCTTCAAGAGGGAATTAGATAAGCACATGGAGCAGAGGTCCACCAGTGGCTATTAGCCACAAGGTATAGATAGGGGCTCTGGGGCAAGGGATGCTCTGTCTTCTTGGTGCTTGGAGGGGGGGCAACAGTAAGAGGGCTTCTGATGTCCTGGCCCCACTGCTGGACCTCCTGATGGCCCTTGGTATTTGTGGCCACTGTGTGACACAGAGTGTTGGACTGGAGGGACCACTGGCCTGATCCGACATTGGCTTCTCTCATGTTCTTATGTCTGGGGCAAGTGATGCACTGTATTCCTGGTGCTTGGGTGTGTGTGTCAGCAATGCTGCCATGGGGGTTGGGGTTGATCCAGCACTGGCTTCTCTCTTATGTTATGAGCAGGAGGAAGCTTACCTTCTGGGAGCACTTGGCAATGGTGAAAATGTCACTGCTGATGTTCATGTAGAGCTGCAGGACCGCTGACATCTCAGCAATTAAAAGCTCGCTCCGCTGCGTCGTCTCCTTCAGCAAGAGGGACAGGATGTCCTCGTTGATGGATGCCAGGAGGGGCACTGCCAGGACAGAGGGACCCCGAGGTGAGGACACACGCAGGCCCGGGGGGGGGTCTTCCCCCACGGCCCCCTCCCCCGTCCCGCGCCACCTACGGATGTCCTGGTGAATGCCAGTGCAGTCCACAAAGAGGAGGCGATTGGTCGTGACAACAGACCGTGGCACTTGCTTGACGCGGCTCATCCACACGCGCAGCTTGGTGATTCGGTTCACGTACTCCTCGCACGGCCAGCCTTTCATGTCTTCCAGCCGGCTGGCACCCCAGCTGTGGGCAAAGCGGTAGATCTCGGCCAGCCAGGAGTACTCGCGGCACAGGTGCTGGGTCTCGGACAGGGCGGCCTGCGGGGGGGGGATGGGGGGGACGGGACAGGGAAG